AATCCAATTTTTCATCGATTTTTTACACTCCGAAAAAAAAAAAAAAAAAAAAAAAAAAAAAAAAAAAAAAAAAATTTTGTAGAGACAATCGTATGGTAGAATCACATTAGACTCTAATAGATCCTAATTTTTATCTCTTATAATGATTCTGCCGATCGGTGTAGTTATATTGGATTATAATGTTAGAAAAATCATAAATTTTTATCTTGAAAACGTTTATCTAGATCAAGAAATAAATTTTACAATACGCGTTGTTTCGAAGATTAAAAAGCCGGATGTAAATTCGCTGAGATTCGATGGACGAAATGCGAATGATTGGCATAAGATTGTCCGTGGAAGTTGAACTCACGGAGATTGCATTACGGTTTCACAGTCTCCGTTTCGCACACACGCAGACACGTGCGCGAGGATCATTGTATATGCGAGAATGCGAGAAAGCGAGAGTGCTATATCGATCCGGTTCGCGCGAGGTCTACCTACCTACCTACCTCAACCCTAGCATTGCGCGTATACGTACACAGGATACATTGAACGATGTGCCACTGGTAGCGACTCCGTTATTTTATTTTTGCGTCGCCGTCGATAAATTTCCGAAACGGATACGGAGAGATCGTTCCCCTTTTTCTCATGTCATTTAACCGAGTGTTTCCCCGCGAGGATTATTTACGATATAGAAACGAATTAAGAATTTGCGTCTTGTTATAAGCTTTGTTTCGTATGCCACTTGACGAAATTTAATTTTACACTAATAAATACGGATGAATTTAAATACCTTTTAGATTTAAAAAAAAAAAAAAATCGTAATTAAAAGATGCCAGCGTATTCAAATTTCGAATTATTTCATGTTAATAGACTAGAATAGAGAGAAAAACATATATAATTTTTTCTTTATAAATTGTGTGATTCTTCCCGTCAGTTTAATATCGTCGGTGTAGACAAATAAGATAATCGAAAAATGAATTTTACGACATATTTTATATTTTATGTTAAAATAGTTCTATTACAGAAAGGATCCAATATATCGAATTAAAGAATTATTAAGAGCTTTTTTTATAACGCGCGTAGAGTTCAATAGACTCCGCTTCAATTTAAAGGTTGAGATGTTGAAAAAACGTGGCGAACGTTGACCCGTTCGATCGATACGAACGGAGTGAATAAACGTCAAATTATACGATTAAAATCAGAGGTATAATATAATCTGGGGCAAATAGCAAGACGGCTTTAATTACTTTGAATACAGCAATAAATCTAAAGGAACGATAAAAAAAAAATATGCAAAATAAAATATTTTTTCCTAAGAGTCACAGGGGAGGAATTTCGAACCAGTGCCCGAATTTTTTTTTCTCTTAGATCTCGTCGAATTGTCCAAGTTGTAATTGAAACGAAACTTTTCTCAGAGATACTTATTAAACTGTCGGCTGGGTATTTTACGGATTTTTATCCTAGATCGCGCGATTCACGATTGCGAGAAGGAACCTTCGCATGCGACGCCGTCGTCGGGTTTAGACACTCCGGGGGCGCGAGGTCCGCGATGTGTCTACGCTGGTGGGCCGTTTCGGGCGGGCGACGCAACGGCTGTGTGCGCAAAAAACGGCGGCGGCGGCGGCGGCAGTCAAGTTCAAGGCCACCGACGTCTCCCTCTCACCCTCCTCTGTCCCCCTCGCGTCGCGGCCGCCGTCGACGCCCCCGCCACCCACTCACCCACTCACCTATCATCGTGATATATATACACACATTGGCGCGTCTGAACCGCGCCAGGAGCGTATCAAGCCGTACGGGGGTACCACCGCCGGGATCCGGAGCACGATTCTCATAGCGTAGACGATGGGATGAGATGATGGGAGTATTTCGTCGCGCTCGCTTGCTCGATCGATCTACCTCTCTCGTCGCCGCGAGGGAAAATTCAATTCACTCGCGCGTGAATGCCGTTCGACGCAACGCTCGGGTATACACGAGATGTGTACTCTCGGGTCTCTGGAAAGCTACACGTATAGCGACTTTGCAATTGTATCGAAGAGTCAAAAATAAAGAGAGAAATTCTACATCGAAAACAAAGGTTTTCTTAAGATCGTACGATGTGCCGTATAAGGGTGGATTTTTAATTTATTAACTAAGGGAAAAAAATGAGATGAATATTTTGTTTAGAATCATCGGTGGATGTTACGAGAAAATTACGCGGTTGTAATATACAAAAATATTTGTCTCCGAGTCTATGAAAATATTTTACGGACGTCTGGCGCTTCCTCGCTTCTCGGAAAGGGTGGAGCTTGATGCGCCGATGAGAGAGAAAGAGAGAAAGAAAGAAAGAGAGAGAGAGAGAGAGAGAGGGAGAGGATATAAATCAGCGTACACCTAGATATATACGAAAAGTCGTTTCAAGTTGGCACGATAAAGCTTCGCGCCATATCAAGGGTCGAGACGAGAGTCGCGGTAATGTTAATGACCGATTGTCCGTGACCATGATTTTTATCCAGAATGATATTACACGCGACGTTTACAAGAAAGAGAGGCACAGTAACATCTGTCTTAAATCGAGACAGTCGCGTTGTTTTATCGATGATAAGCGCGATAAAAAGTGAAAATATCTCGACGCGTTGCCTAACGCGATGCAATTGTACGATAGATGTTATTTCAGATTAAGAGCCATCATTACTTTACATAATGCAGCATAATATCGTCATTCTGTATACTCTTGTACCTAAAGAAAGTGCAAGAAAAACTAATGTAGAGTAAGCGTAGCACGATAAAATATATTTTTACACATACTCTTAAAACTTTTCCTCTGGTACCACATAAAAAATATAAAATATATAATTATTATTATTTTATTATATTATTAATATATGCAGTAATTTTAATAGTTATGATATAACGCAACATATATTATCAATTGCTCGTGTAAAAAGCAATCGCTACTGTATGAACAAAATTATTGGTTTATTAGTATAAAAAGAATATTTTCGGAAATTCCTTTACACTAATATGTCATACTTTTCTTATTTTTTATCACAAAGTATCTTTTTTACAATTCCTCGTGTCTTCCTTTAATCGATCAAAATACGCGGCCGTTTTCGAATACCACACCTAAATTCCCAACTTCTCGTCATTCTAAGTAATTAGTAAGCATGTCAAAACAATAAAATCTGCATCTCATTTTTGAATTTTCCCGACACAGAGACGCGTAAAGCGAGAAGATCTGCGACAAAATCGGGCTTGACGTATTTACGTATGTACGTACGTATGTACGTACGTCGCATCGACGTACGCGGCGCAGCTGCGCGCGGGGGTGCCGGGGGTCGTCGGGGCTCCGTCTCGCGTCGCGTCGCTTCGGGGGTCCTCCGTGCATCATCGCGGATTCGCTTAACGCGCCAATGTTTAGCGCCTTCGATCAGTCGCGTACGGCGCGCGGTGCCGTCAACGTCGTCCGTGTGGCAGTGGTGGCGCGGGTCCTTACATTCGCGCGAGCGGCGCGCTCGCTCGCGATCGCGACGTTGAGGGCAAATCCGAGGATCTATCGAATAGA